GACATCATTAGGCGCCAGAGCTCTTGCAGGACAACTTTGATGCTATATGAATTCTGCCATTTTACTAGCACTGATATGGCTCTTGGGTCCACCACTCCATTAGAACTATTAACTCCATTCATATTAATTTTTGTTACAAATCTTACAAAGGGGGGTGCTTCTGGTATTTAGGCCCACATTCTATTTTAAGGCTATATATTCAGTTTTCATAAATTGTTCTTGGAGGCCCAATTATCAATCATCCCTGTCCATCTTAGAAGTGTCATGTCTTCATCATCTTCTAGACCTCAGCTAACTGTGCCACCTCCTACTCCTTTCTGGCCTTCTTCCAGTTCTTCCAACAGTCGAAAATTGCAAGACTTTTACTCCCAAGCCCGTGGTGGCTGTCACCTTGCATCCCAAATCCATATCCTTAACCACTATTCTAAACTACCTTCTCACAATTGGTGACCCTGCTTTAACTAATAATAATGGTGCTAGGTTTCTAAATATTTATACTAAAATAAAAGAATAAATCTACAAATCATCTAAATAGTGAATATTCATTATATTTTAGTGATAATCCCCAATCACTAAAGATAATTTATAAAAAGGACTATAGCATAAAAAGTCATGAAATGTTGGGTTCAGTTTTTCAAAGTTCATAAAGATACAGGATTGATCATTTCAAGTTTCCTGCTGATTGCCTTTGGAAATAAGTTCTTGGTCTTAAATACATTCTGTGATTTGGGCCTTCTCTTATTACTACAACGTAGATAATCTAAGATGGAAAAATCATCAGACTTGGAAATGCTAAGAGAATAGAAGCCAAAGCCTATAAGAAAATAGTCTTCTAAATTTATTATCTCTTATGCATTGATTTATCACATATGGTGGGAATTTAAACCAGATGTATGCTTACTAGAAGAGGCTATCCCAAGACGGACAGAGGAGAGGAATGTGACCTCAGCTTGAAAGTAGAGAATCAGAACTTGTTGGTGGTTCAGAAGTTTCCTTTTATGATGGTTATATAATAGAATAAAAGTTCTTCATCTTTTCAAATTAACTGAGACTTCATTTCTTAATCTGGAAATTGTTGAAACTTCTGGCTTTTGCAATGCAATATTTTCATATTGGGAAAGACCATAGACTTTCTGAGTAACTCTTGCTTAATCTAAAGCAAAACATTTTTGGAAAATACAGCTCTTATATGTAAATATTAACATTTACACATTCGCATTCATTTCATTCTCATCTGGAATTTAGATATCAAATTTTAATAGCTAGAATTCAGTAACATATCTTTGCCATCTGCTTTTTTTTTAACTTAAGCTTTAAAAAAATCTATTCTTTCAAGTCACATCTAAGGAAAAAAAGAGACTTAGCCTAACATGAGTAATCTACCTATCGTTATGTAGTCTTTATTTTTTAAAACTTGAAAATTACTATTAAAGAAAATATTTCCCATAATAAATGCTTTAGTTTAGGAACAGTCTGAACAAAAAAAAACACAGTATGGAACAACTTTACAGTCATTTCTCCACTTTTTGAGGGGAAATTATCTTGAAAATCATTAATTGAGCAAAGAGATATTTCTCAAAAGCACTTGTGATTTAGTTTTCAGTTTATTTTTACAGTACACTTAGGGGTGCCTGGGTGGCTCAATCAGTTAAGCGTCTGCCTTCAGCTCAGGTCATGATCCCAGGCTCCTGGAATCAAGCCCCACTCAGGCTCCCTACTCAGCAGGGAGTCTTCTCTCTTTCTCAAATAAATAAAATCTTTTAAAAAATACACTTATGTGATAAGATATTTTTAAAAAAATTAAAGATAATTAGCCAATTGTAGACAGTTTCTATCCCAGGAGAAAAACTTAAGACAACTGGAGACATGCACGTGTACACATATACTTGTATATTGACTGCCAGAGAGAGCTGATTTGTTCAAAGCTAGAGTGGTCATTGACAATCTGAAACACAGAAAAAAGGTATTTTCTTTATAAGGAGTTATTGGTAGGAAACTAAACACACGTTTAAAAGAAACTACCTAAATATCTCATTGTATGTCTATGAACTGCCAAAACAATTGATTCATTTAACTTCCCTCAAACAAGTATTGAGCAGTCATTGTGTGCTGAACAATTCTAGGCACCAGGGTGGGAAACAAAAAACATGTAAATGATATGTCTTGCTTACCCAAGCTTAAGGTAATTATATGATAACATTTCTTTCCTATGGATCTAAAATTTGCATGCAGGGAAATGCATAGATATTTAATGTACAATTGGATGAATTTTAACAAAAGTATGTATTCATGTAACTACCACCCCATTGAAGACATAAGACCCTTCCATCTCCCCTAGAAAGTTCCTTCATGTCTCGCTTCCCAGATAGGCAGGTGTGTTCTGATTTCTATCACCATGGGTTATTATGCTTTTGAAGTCTCATAAATGGAATTATATGGTATGTTATCTTTTACTCTGTGCAGTGTTTTAGAGATTTATTCAAATTGTTGTATTAGTACTTTATTACAAATTTCTTTTATATACATATATAACATTTTTTAAAAATCTATAATCCTATTTGCTTCCAGTTACAAACACTGTTAGTCAACTTGTTGTGAATGTAGATTTTCATTCTCTTGGATAAAGACCTAGGAGTAGAATTGCTGGGTCATTAGGTGTATAATATTATAAGAAGCTCCCAAACAGGGCAGTCCAGGTGGCTCAGTGGTTTAGCCCCGCCTTTGGCCCCGAGTGTGATCCTGGAGACCCCTGCATCACTCCCTGCATGGAGCCCGCTTCTCCCTGTGTCTCTGCCTCTCTCTCTCTGAGTCTTTCATGAATAAATAAATAAAATATTTTAAAAAAAGAAGCTCCCAAACAGTTGTCCAAAGAGATTTTTTTAAAAATATTCATTCATTAGAGAGAGAGAGAGAGAGCATGAGAATGGGAGAAGGGCAGAGGGAATAGGAGAAGCAGACTCCCCACTGAACAGGGAGCCAGATGCAGGGCTCCATCCCAGGACTCCCAGATCATGACCTGAGCCGAAGGCAGATGCTTAACTGACTGAGCCACCCAAGTGCCCAAGTGCCCGTGTCCAAAGAGATTATATCATTTCATACTCTATCAGCAGTATATGAGAGTTCTACTTGTACAACATGCTCGCCAACAATTGATGATATCAGTCTTTTCGTTTTAGCCATTTTAGTGGGTGTGAGGTGAAATTTTAATGTGGTTTTAATTCATATTTCCCTGATGACTAATGATGTTGAGTATCTTTTCCTCTGCTTACTGGCCACTTTCAAAGCTTTCACTGCTTTTGTGAAATATCTGGTTTTTGCATATTTAAAACTTTTTTATCCTTTTATTTTAATTTGTATGAGTCTTTTATGTATTATTATATAAGTTTTTTTTTTTACCAAATATACATATTAAGAATATTTTCTCTAGGGATGCCTGGGTGGCTCAGCCGTTGGGCATCTGCCTTCAGTTCAGGGTGTGATTCTGGAATGCCTGGATCAAGTCCCACATCAGGCTCCCTGCATGGAGCCTGCTTCTCCTTCTACCTATGTCTCTGCCTCTCTTTCTCTGTCTCTGTCTCTCATGAATAAATAAAATCTCTAAAAATAATAATATTTTCTCTCAGTGTATGGCTTACATTTTTTATAGATTTTAATTTTTTAGAGATTTCTTTTAGATTAACAGCAAAATCGAGCAGATGGTATAGAGAATTCCCATCTACCTCCTGCCTCTACATATGCATAGCCTCTCCCACTGCAACTTCCACTCAACACCCTGGACCAGAGTGTTACATTTGCTACAGTCAATTGACACATCTTTATCACCTGAAGTCCATAGTTCACATTAGGGTTCATGCTTGGTGTTGTACAGTGGGTTTAGACAAATATGTAATGTGATATGCATCCACCATTGTAGTATCATATCACACAGAGTTCTTTCAATACCCTAAATTCCTCTATATTCTGTGTGTTCATCCTTTCATACACCCATCCTCTGACAATCACTGATCTTTTTACTGTCTCTGTAGTTTTGCATTTTCCAGGATGTCATATAGCTGGAATCACAATGTAGCTTTTTCACATTAGCTTCTTTCACTTAGTAACATGCACTTAATGTTCCTGCATGTCTTTTCATGGCGTGATAGTTCATTTCTTCTTAATGATGAATAATATTCCATTGTCTGGACACACTGTGGTTTATTTATCCATTAACTTACTGAAGGACTTCGTGATTGTTTCCAAATTTTGGCAATTGTGAATAAAATTGCTTTAAACAGCTGTGTGCGGGTTTTTGTGTGGACATAACTTTTCAGCTCATTTGGGTAAATACCCAAAAGCACAATTCCCAGACCATGTGGTCAGAGAATGTTAAGTTTTGTAAGAAACTGCCAAATTGTCCTCCAAAGTGGCTGTGCCATTTTGCATACCCATTAGCAATGAATGAGAGTTCCTCTTGTTTCATATTCTTGCCAGCATTTGGTGGTGTTAGTATTTTGGATTTTTGCCATTCTGATAGGTGTATAATGGTATCTTATTGTTATTTTAATTTGCAATTGTATGATGACAAGCGACAGTATTCAACTTTTCATTTTCATGTGCTTACTTGCCATTCACATATCTTCTTGGATGAGGTCTCTATTCATTTTTTAATCATTATTTAATTAGGGATCCCTGGGTGGCGCAGCGGTTTAGCGCCTGCCTTTGGCCCAGGGTGCGATCCTGGAGACCCGGGATCGAATCCCATGTCGGGCTCCCGGTGCATGGAGCCTGCTTCTCCCTCTGCCTGTGTCTCTGCCTCTCTCTCTCATTCTGTGTGACTATCATAAATAAATAAAAATTTAAAAAATTTTTTTAAAAATCATTATTTAATTAGATTGTTCTAATGTAAGAATTTATTATACATATACATTGTAAATAGATTAACACAATCAAGCTAATTAACATATCCAATACCTCACATAGTTAAGATTTTTGTGTGTGGTAAAAATACCTAAGGTCGACTCTTAAATATGGGCTGTTTCACGAATTTGCATGTTATCCTTGCATAAACACCATGCTAATCTTCTCTGTATCATTCCAACTTCGGTATATGTATGTGCTGCAGAAGTGAATACTTAAGGTTTACTTTTTTCCATACATTTTTACAGTTGTTTCAACACCATTTGTTTAAAAAAAATTCCCTCACTGAACTGAATTGGTATGTTGGTAATCTCCAGTATACTATATGTATATGATCTATTTTTGATTTCTCTATACACATACACACATATTTTATATGGTGTTGTTTAATTCAAGCTGGATTCATTATTATATTTTTATAATAATGCATATACATTGTATTTATTATATAAAATTTAAACTTTTTTTAAAAAAAATCCATTTTAAGAAATTAAAATTAAAACATTTTCATGGTTCCCTAAAAATATTGGGAGCCATAGGCACTACACCTAAAGCTAATTGGACCTGACAGGGATAAAGCTAGGTTCTGCACATGTAGCCCTGTCAGAAACTGGGTGTAGAGGCCTGTGAAAGTTTCCTTAGGAGCACATGGTAGGCTTGTAGGCTCTAAAAGTAGCAAATACCTAGGGGCCTGTGATAGTTTACTTTCAATGTTATATTTTCATTGTATTATCCCTATGACTAAAGTCTCATTTAATACTATTATACTGACTTAATTGGTCTATGGGGAATTAAGGAAAATACCTTTTCAGTCAGGGTCTTAGTCATAAGCAACAGAAGCTGCCTTTGGTCAACCAAGCAAGACAAAAGCTTGAGGTATTTATTAAACAGCATGAGGTAGTTCACAAAATGGTTGGGATGTTTGGAACATTAGGCTCAAGGCTAAGCCTCAGGAAGAATGCCCAAACCCACGTGCCATGAATAAATCTAAGGAGGAAAATGTTGCCACCACCAGCCACTAGAAGTTACAGTTTGCCCCACTGCAGTTCTGTACCAGGAAAGCAGTTTCAGTGTTATCATTACAGTCATTGATGTCAATTATCATTTTTGCCAAGAATTCAGTATTGCAGCTCCTGTGCTGCTAGTGCAGTGTGTGAGACTGAATGTTTCATTAATAATTATATAAAAACACTTTGCCACATATAACACCCAAAATATCTGAAAAACAGAGTCAAGAAAATAAGGAATTCTCCATTTCTCAAGAAAACAAAAATATGACATAGTATACATCCTCAAGAAGCTCACGGTTTTCTGAAAGAGGTAAGCATATGCATAGCTATTGGTGAAACCATTTTCCTATGTAATATAAGCGAAATGATAAGGGAACAGAGAGGAGGAAACAATTTCAAATAAGGAGCATTTGAGCCCTGAAGAAAAAGCAGGATTTTGATGGAACATTCTACGATAGAGGAAACCAAGTGGGCAGATAAGCAGAATTAAATTGCAAAGTGTATTTGAGGTTTTAAAATTTACAACTTTAACAAACCAAATACTTTTTTTTTTTTAAGACTTCGGGAGGTTCTAGAAATTGTTGAGTTAACTGAGAATACCTTTTTTTTTTTTAAGATTTTATTTATTTATTTATTCATGAGAGACACACACAGAGAGAGAGAGGCAGAGACACAAGCAGAGGGAGAAGCAGGCTCCATGCAGGGAGCCTGACATGGGACTCGATCCTGGGTCTTCAGGATCACACCCTGAGCCAAAGGTGACGCTAAACTGCTGAGCCACCTGGGCTGCCCCAAATACTATTTTTATACAAGTAATTGTATTCCTTTATAAACTAGTTTTCCCTGGACCATGATAATTATCAACTGACAGTTGGGGGTGCCTGGGTGGCTCAGTCAGTTGGGCATCTGACTCCTGATTTCTGCTCGGGTCATGATCTCAGGGTTGTGGGATCAGGCCCAGCTCAGGGTTCACACTCAGTGGGGAGTCTGCTTGAGATTCTTTCTCTCCCTGCCCCTCCCCCTCCCCCTGCTCGTGCTCTCTCTCTTTCTTGCTTGTGCATGCCCTAAAATAAATAAATAAATCTTTTTTAAAAAAATTATCAACTGATAGGTCTGTGAACCAGGGTTAAGGTACTGCTTAATTTTAGGAATCAAGAGATCCATTTAAGTTTGAAGGGGGCAGAAGGCAGAAATCAAGGCTAAAGAGAATATATGTGTTGAAGAAATTGAAGATACTTTACTAGGAGAAACAACCTATAATTAGAAGAAATATTTAAGTGACAATGGTGTTCTTAATTTAGAAAAGACTTCTGTATATTTGAAGAGACAGAATGAAAAGGGATTATAGATGATGAAAAGAAGAGTGAATGAGATGAGGAGGATAGGGGAGGATTCTCCTGGGGGAAGACATGGGAAATCAGAGACATTGAAAAGAGGAAAACTTATTTATATAAGCTATGAAGGAATAAAGAAAATGTAAAGGTATTCTAGAAGTGGAAAGGAAGAAAGGCCAAAGAGATCATTTACCAGTAACTTTGATCTCTGTGGAGCAGGAGGTTGAAGGTTAAATCATTTCTTAATAGGAGTTTCTAAAAGTAAGCTTTTTTTTTTTTTTTTAAAGATTTATTTATTTAGGGCTCCTGGGTGGCTCAGTGGTTGAGCTTCTGCCTTTGGCTCAGGTTGTGGTCCTGGGGTCCTGGGATCAAGTCCTGCATTGGGCTCCCCACGAGGAGCCTGCTTCTCCCTCTGTGTCTCTGCCTCTCCCTCTATGTCTCTCATGAATAAATAAATATTTTTAATTTATTATTTATTTATTTATTTATTTATTTATTTATTTATTTATTTATTTTCACACACAGAGTAGGGAGGGGCAGAGGGAGAGAGAGAATCTCGAGCAGACTCTATACTGATCATGGAACCTGACATGGGGCTCTGTCCCACAACCTCAAGATCACAAGTTGAGTAGAAATCAAATGTCAGATGCCCAATCGACTGAACCATCCAGGTACCCCTAGAAAGTAAACTTCTGCGTGGCCTGTTCCCTCTGTCCTGAATGCTTTTTCTCATCACGTAGCTTATCTCTCATCTTCCTCAATGAGTCCAACCCTCACACCGTATCTAAAACCTCCACCTGCTTCCTGCAGTCCTGAACTCCCCTACCCTCTCCTTTTTCTTTTTTTTTTTCCATAGCTCTTATCACCTTCAAACATACTATATGATTTATTTGGTTTTTTGTTTTCTGTTATTTGTCCCCTCCCACTAGAATGTAAGGTTACAGGACAGAGATTTTTTTGTCTCTTTTGTTTACTGAGAATGATGGCTGATCCTCAATAAATATTTGTTGATTGAATAGAAAAGTTGATGTTGAATTGAGGGCAAAAAAAAACAGAAGAGAGCTTTTGGAAGAGTTATAGTTGAAAACAGGACTGCTAGTTGGTTTAAACCACATTATTGTACTACTTTTTCAAAATATTGACATACTTTTGTAATAATTGGTAAACATCTGCCCAGGCAACCTTGACTTCTCTCCCAGGCCCTCTGTTAGCAATTAAAGGGTAAATACAGGGTGCAGCTAGGCGCCTCTCTCAGACCCTGCTATGTCAGTTCAAGGTCCATACCCTTCCTGTACTAGTTTAAAATTTTGAATATATAGACAGTGTTAAGAAATCAGTAAGAGGGGCACCTGGGTGGCTCAGTCATTTAAGCCTCTACCTTCAGCTCAGGTCGTGATCCCAGGGTCCTGGAATGGAGCTCCATATCATATCAGACTCCCTGCTCAGCAGGGAGCCTGCTTCTCCCTCTCCCTCTGCCATTCTCCTTGCTTGTGTTCTCTGATTCTATCTGTAAAATAAATAAAATCTTTTAAATGATTTTTTTTAAAAAAATTCAATAAAAGATAACCTAACGGATTCCTGGGCAGGCCAGGTTGAGATAAAAAGTGTGAATTTAGAGAGAGCCATGTCAACAAAATTCCATGACTTCCTCCAGCAATTATGAGGCTGGAGACCACACAGTAACAATAGAGATGATCCAGAAAGACCAGATGTGATCAATGAGAGAACACAGGCTAGAGATTTAAGGTACTAGGAGGACGTTTCTTTTGGATGGTTGACAATGGAATCCAGGTTAAGGGTAAAATGTCATTAGGAAAAAAAATAAAATTAAAATTAAAATGTCATTAGAAGACTAATGGGTTTGAGGATATGGGAGGGCTCCCATCATGAGAGAACCCAGAATGGTGGATCACCCTACTACCCAACTCGCTTCAACTTTAGGGCTAAAAGAGCAGAGAGACAGTGTCAACATCAATAATGTTTTCCAAGTGTAATATAGATCTGAGGACCTTGCCATTTCAATTTTAAATTGAAGCAATACCTCTTTATCATGTTTGTCTTGACCATTACACAGAAAATAGTATGTGGTCATCTACAACATGGTACCTGCTCTCGAGATGCTTGTCATCTAGTGGGAGAGGCAAGACTGACATTCTTCAAACAGCACATGCCACTTATAAGATTATGTATTATAGATCATAAATACAATTTGAGGGATGCCTGGGTGGCTCTGCAGTTGAGCACCTGCCTTTGGCCCAGGGTGTGATCCTGGAGTCCCAGGATCGAGTCCCACATCGGGCTCCCTGCACAGAGCCTGCTTCTCTCTCTGCCCATGTCTCTGCCTGTCTCTCTCTCTGTCTCTCATGAATAAATAAATAAAATCTTTAAATAAATTAGATAAACATATACAATTTTACTTTAAATCCTACAAAACCGGGAACCCTGGGTGGCGCAGCGGTTTAGCCCCTGCCTTTGGCCCAGGGCACAATCCTGGAGACCCAGGATCAAATCCCACATCGGGCTCCCGGTGCATGGAGCCTGCTTCTCCCTCTGCCTGTGTCTCTGCCTCTCTCTCTCTCTGTGTGTGTGACTATCATAAATAAATAAAATTTTGAAAAAAAAATCCTACAAAACCAATATAAAAACAGTGGGTAATAGGCAGCATCTGGTAATCATCCACTGTTCTCTTAGACTCCATCACTAGGATGTATTATGGTTTTAGCCTCCCTAGAGAATTCTGTATGCCAGTGAAAGTGTTACCTTGAGATTGTGTTTTAAAGTATTCAAATCCCGGGATCCCTGGGTGGCGCAGCGGTTTGGCGCCTGCCTTTGGCCTGGGGCGCGATCCTGGAGACCCGGGATCGAATCCCA